CGCTAACATTTCTACGCTTTCATGAGTCCATGGGGGAGGAATGTGGGAGATGATGGGTGAGATGATGAGGGGCGTACAGCGCTGAGGGACTGGACTCATCAACAGTCAGTGTAACCAGGCCTACAGGACGCCGCCTCTTCCTGGCTGTCAGATCATTCTCATTCTGTAGGACATGTCAGAGCCGCTATGGACTTCCTGAGGAGAGACACCCAGCATCATCCATCCCCTCATCATTCATCCACCAATTGTTCATCCCCTCATCATTCATCCACTCATCCTTCAACCACCCATCATTCATCCACCCATCATTCATCCATCCATCATTCATCCTCTCATGGGAAATAATGCAGGTTAAATCTGCAGAGCAATGATAGTTCAGCCCAGTGCTTCATTCAGGCTGGATGTGAACGGCCCTCAGAGTCGATGTTGAGGATGTTCTGTCAGGCCAGCATACGTATGCTGTCCTGTTTCCTCTCCTCCTCCATGTTCACCGCTCTGCTTTGTGCTCCGTGTTTGTGGTTGGTTTGTTCAGCAGAGAGTTAGCCGAACCCTCATTGACTCAGAGCTTCTCCAGCTAAATTCTCCATTTTATCCTGATAGCGCTCCATGGCTGAACCCAGCTGGACTCCATCAGAAGCTTCTCAGTGTGACCAACCAATGACATGTTTTAGATCCTACCTGTCTAACCTGGGTCAGTTTGGGTTCAGGCAGAAGCAGGCAGCTAGAAAGCAGAAAAACATCCAACCTGATTTCCCAACAAACCCACTGAAAACCCTTTGACGTCCTGGCAGGGCTTTCCGTGGCATTGCTGAGCGAAAGAGGCGCAAAAGAGAGCAGGAGACAGCCGCCATGATGGAGAGGTACTGTGTTCTGGCTGTGCTGTGCTGTCTGGTGCTGAACGTAGCTGTGAAAGTTCCTCTCTGTTACAATCAATCTTCATGTCTGTCCAAGGACAAGATGGCCGCTGAACTGACCCAGCATTAAATCAGACTCCTAGTCCAGACCTCGTGACGTAGAAATGCAGATGTCAGCGTGGAAGGTTCAAAGTCTGGGTCAGATCTGGAGAAAGTGGATTTATTTCTGCAGGGAAAAGATGATAGATTGAAAGGAGAAGCGAAGGTGGAGATAATCCTGTTCTATGGTAAATGGGACGTACTTATATGACGCTGACCAGACAATGCAGGTGTCTTGCCTAACGACACAACGACACTGAAAGCCAGAGCCGGGGTTGAACCGTCAATCCTTCGACTTCAGGGCAAACACCCGACGCCACTGTCACCACTACGGTGTTTCTATGAACTCACTGTTTTCATGAATCCTTAGAATCAAAATGAGGAACGTTTGTAGCTAATGAGGAAATGAGCTGACTGATTTCTAACCATTTAATGTCATTTATTCACACTTTGAGTCAAACGATCTTCATTCCTTCTATTTATGAAAAATGATGTGAGGAAATTTGACCAAGTTGCTTAAAGATGGTTTCTAACGCGTCCACCTTCAACACAGCGGTGAGCCGAGCAGAGCGACGGTCTACACACTGTTAGCGGCATTTTAAACTGTCTAGATTTTCCCTGCAGGATATTCTGGTCAACCCTAGGGGGCGATGTAGGGCTTAGACCGCAAGATCACATAATATTTAGAAACACAGCTGCTTACATCATTTTAAAGGCCTCTTCATGTCATCCAGGAGTGACAGTCATTTCCTAAAGGAGATATTTCTGCTCTAGATCAGAAGATGACGACAGACGTTCCCTTTTCACTAACCTCCCACTAGGGGGCGATGCTGCTCCTCCACCATGGTTGCCAAGGGAGTTTTCCACAGTTCCAGATCATCCAGTCAGATTGATTCGAAGTTTTCTATCTAAGGAAAACGAGCTG